TTCTTCTATGCTAAAATTCAGTTGATAAGTCACTTAGTACTATGGTCTAGTGGTCTTCCTCTTCACTTGTAAGCATGTCGTATGATTTAAATTGATGGTTTCTTTAGTAGTACCCTATATTCTTCTATGCTAAAATTCAGTTGATAAGTCACTTAGTACTATGGTCTAGTGGTCTTCCTCTTCACTTGTAAGTAAGAGGTCTTAAGTTCGATTCTCACCAAATGCAAATTTGAACCACCTTATTGCTAGCCCATTAATTATAAGGCTTAACCCACTTCCCCACATCCTTAGTTTAGATTATATCGTTTGTTGAATACTGTTCATTAACAGTGATTTGACCAAACTGCCCTTCATATGTTGTCCATGTCCCTCTTTTTTAGTGTAGCACAGTAAATTTACAAGTTTGCCTTTATTGTGCATGTCTCGGTCATAGTACAAAGGAAAGGGGGATGAAAAAGCTCTTCGTTTTCATTTGCTTCCTAGAAATCTCTTGACTTCACTCTTCGTTTACCATCGACCACTTCTTCCCTGCTCCCCTTTCCCTCTTTGCCTCATCTTCCAACCCGTCCTCAACCGCCTTTCCAACTCCACCCACACATTCACCAACTTCCACTTTCCGACCTCACCACTCTTCTCCATAGTAGCCGTGCCAAATGCCTCTCTTCCTCTCATTCCTGCATACGTAATACCTGATAGCTTTTCTGTTTCACTCAAGTTAGAGATTTCTTCTGCAAAATCATCGACTGGTAGCAATTTGCAAATTCCCTAATCGTTTGACGTAATTTTGTTTCCATTTTTTTAGTTTTTCCTGTAATTTTTTAAAAGAGAAAAAAGGGTTATTTTGTCGCAAAAAGCATAACTATACTGCATTCTGTTTAAGGCTTGACAATTTCTCTATTCACAGGCTTTATCTTCGAATTAAGGTATTTTATTATTAATTTGATTGTGTTGTATTTCTTAATCTATATGAAATGGATGCACCTGATCCTGCAATTAAACATAAATTCTATGGAGTCTCATAAACATAATCATAATTGAGAATTCAGGTTAATTTTTAGAGTTTTGATTGGTCAAGACTATTTTAATAATAGACCTAGCAGGTGCTCTTGTTGCTTGGTGTGATGTGGTTATTCATGCTACTCCAATGACTACAACAAAACACTCGAGTAATATTTACAAATATGGACTTATTTCACACCTTTTGTTATGTTTTCTTGATTTCTATTCTCGTAGTACCTGTCGTTATCAAGTTGACAGTAGGGTATACTAATACTACTTTGCAAAAAATGTTTTGTTTGAACTATTTTTCTAAATGAATTTACTGTGATAAGCTTCTATCATCAGGCACCACCGATTTGCATAATGAGCTAGAAGAGTGTTCCAAATTTTGTTGAGAAAAATGTCCTATAGTTTTGGGAATGAGTTATGTCACAAACCTTGCTATAATTCCTATTTAAAAGGAGAAGCTTTGCACCTTTACTCAAATAAATGACTTCAATTTTTTTTCTTTACATGGATGCATGATTGTTAGTGATTCTTTAAACCACAACTCTATTGTTATTGGCGCAAGAGCATCTAGTGTTGTAGTTTGTATTTTCCAAGTTCCAACATAATAGTAAGTTCAAATCTTTCTCTCTCGATTTCTCTTCTATTACAAGTGGGTTTTCCTTTGTATCTCGTTCTGTGGATCTAATTGGGGGCAAATTTATTGAATTTTGGTTGAATTGGAATGTGGATTTTATTTGGTTTCTTTTGTTTGTTGATGGCATCAAGTTGCGTTTTTTGCTTGATCTATTGTCTTGTTTGTAATATAATCCTTGAAAGGTATTCGATTTGATTTGACTTTGGTTGAATTGGCATGTGGGTTAATTGGATTTGTTTTAATTTCTATGTTAAGCTCTTCAATTTCTTTTTCTGTTTTCACTTTCTGTTTTTTCTAATGACTTTTACATATAATTTTTCACTTTCTACGAATGGATCTAGACGACACCTGGAGACGAATGCTAAATCTAACGCCGTTCAAGTTGGAATACTAGTGAATGCGTAAACTTTCGTACATTTACAGATTCATCATGCATACTTTTATAATAATTGGCATGCCGCATTTCAGTTGCCAAGTCATAAATGTTAGCAATCTGTTTGTTTTCCCTTTTTGTTTCTCATGAGTTAAATATTTAGTATTTTCATTTTTTTTTCTCCTTTTCTTTTATGTAAGTTGAATATTTAGTATAAGATCGAATATTTTGGGTGAAGAAAAGAAGCTTTTGATACCTTGCCATCCAAAGAAAGTTTTGGTATCTTGTGCTTCACTCTGTTAGAAAACTCAGGAAGTTAGAATTTGAGTCTGGTTAGTTTATGTAGTTTTTATCTAGCTGCATTTCTATTCTTTGAGGTGTCAAATTCGAGCCTCTAAATTTGAGGTAATTCCTTCATGTATGTCAGTTTTTAATGATCAGAATTCTATTTGCAATATGTTATTTGATCTTTTAAAGTCAAATTTTACATAATATGGTACACATTACTTTACTTTTGAAGTTTTGAAGTATCACTCAACTGTTGCTTGTTAATTCTTTTTATTTTTCTATTTTTTGGGAAGTCTTACATCAAGAACAGTAAAAGATGTTTGATGAACTTGAAACTTTGTATTCATTCCTTATTTATGGCAAAGAAGTTCCAGAAACACATTGTGCAATATGAGAAGCAGAAGAATTAGGGGATAATCCAATGGACTGCACTACTGTAAAGCTGCTTGCCTGATTTAATTATATATATCGTATGTGGGAATGTGAAATAATTTTTTTTATATGTGAATGTGAACTGAAATGAAAAAATCAACAATTTAATTGTTGTTTATTTGTTTATTTATTTATTTTTTTGCAAACTTTGTTATTTGTTAGTATGTTTTCTAACTAAAAGTTGTCATGCTTTGTTCAATGTTGATCCTATCATGCACTCTTTATTTCTCAATGTGTTTTCATTTGTCAATATTTCAATATATTTGTATTTAATTGATTAAGTTTGTGTCTTTACTGGTTTAAAATGAAGTTTCAAGTGTTTTGAAGTTGTCCCAATGGCAGTGTGAGACATTTAAAATTTTTGTTGTCCAATTGGTCAACTACACTTTAATATTTATGATGTTCTACTTCCATTACTGAGGCAATCTTACATATATCAATCAGTGTTTAAAGATTCTCTTTGTTTCTGCTGCCAGGAAAACAATAATATCAGTGTTGTTGTTGGTTTATTTACAAAGGGGATTCGACTATTGGCTACTATGTAATCTAAATTCATACAAAGGTATGTCTCTGTTATGAAATTTTAGCTTCTAATTTTGTGCGCATATGATTCACTTGAACAACTACGATTACTTAGTTTGCTCTTTTGACTTTAGTGTTATTGTGACAACACTTTGAGAACCAAATAAGAAGTATGAACCAACAGTATGACATCTTTTCATTTGGATTTTGTTTACGATTGAGGCCAATTTGAATTAGTGCATCTAAATGTGAATGTCTAAAAACTGTTGTGGTGTTTTTACTCATTTGCAAAAATTTAAACTTTCAGAAAACCCAACTTCAAATCCAACTAAAACCAAGAAAAATAAACTTGAAAACAACAAAATACAATCGTAAGACAATGAATAACAATGGATCATATAAGAATTTTCTTTCTTTAGTCATATTGTGGAGAAGCATTAAAAGTTACACAAAGCATGAAGTAGCACATGATAAAAGATGACATATAAAGTATTTAACATACTTAAACATGATAAACCACAACTCTAAGAACTAATTAGGCTTGGAAAAAATTGATCCAAATAGATGGCAGATTAAAATCAAGAGGCCTATTGTTATTTATATTTTGTTGCACTGCATGTTTTTTTTTCTTTTAGACTTGATGAAGGAAAACGATGACAAAAATAAAAATAAAAAATAAAAGAAGGTAAAATTTATCTTACCAAAATCACATGCGCAAATGCTAAATTGATATATAAAAGAGTTTTGTACTTTAATTTGCAATAAACACATATCCTCCATATCTTCAAAGAAAGTACTAGAGAGATCTCTCCATCCCTCAAATTAACCAGTAAACATCATTAAATGCCATAAACATTATTGAGATTTTTACCTGTCGATCTAGCAATAGCAACCAACACAACAGCCATAATTCAACGGTTAACCACTTTTCCAACAAGAAACCCTATGTTACACAAATATATTGAATTAAAAACAAAATAATGAGACCGAAGCCAAAATTTAAAAGTTGAGTTAATTATAATTGTTAATTTTTTGTGATTTGTTGTTATATAGTTATGTTATTTTTTTCGGCAAAATATTAGTTGTTAATTAAATTCTTACTTTAATTTTTTGAGAATCCAAATATTTTGCCATATTGCACTTAGAATTAGATTGCATATAATCTTACATGATATTGATGAAATGTCCAACAAGTAATGTTGGTGATGAAATAGATGATTTGAATCAATTATTTGACACTCTTGACCTAAGATGGGAGAGCTTAGTTGGAATGGAACGTGGGTTTCAGTATAAGAAAATAGGGTTTATGCGACGATAGATATTTGTCATAGAAATAGATATTTGTCATAGAAAGATCAAATGCATCATATTTGATGACGTATTTTCAGCGTCATTGCGAGCGTCATCGATGAGGCATCACCAAAAGTATATGTGACAAATTTTTTATTTTTTTTATTTTTATGTATACGTGACGCCATTTTAGCCCCCTAATAATTGATTCGAATACCGGATTCAAAGAGATATATGATGAAGTAAGCGTCACAAAAAAGAAGATTTAGTGACATACAAATTCTACAAATTCGTCGCATACAGTATGTGTAAATGAGGCTAAAATTCTCACCTATTTCTTTGATATGTGAGCCAGGGTACGTCACATATGTCAAAGTCATATACCCATTTATTTCCAATATGTGATGAACCAATTACCATATATATTCCTTGTTTCATAATTTGAAATTAGAATTCATAACAAATGTAATGTATACTTCATTTAATCACATATTTATTAATCAAGACTTTAATCACATAAGTCAAATACATACACCAAGTGACATTTCAAAACCTAACATGAACATCCACAAAACTAACAAGTATCAGTCGGAAACACTTACGGTCTCCCATCTCAACTTAACAGCAACTTAACAGCAACTTATGTTTACCCCGGACTTGCAGCCAAAAACTTAACCTTTAATTGTGCGATGACATCTTCGTTCTCATTTTGCAAATCCATTGCGCTCTCAGCTCTTCGTTCTTCTTTTATGGAGCTCGTATAAACATAACTCGACACTTCGTCAATGTTATTCAACTAGCATGCAAGAAAAGTCAATTACAATGATAAATGCTAAAGAAAGAGAACATGTATACTGGAATGACAAAGGTAAGACTTAACATGTAGGTTCAGGTTTAACCAAAGATGAGCTAGCCTTTAGGAATTGCAAGACCAATCCAATAGCGATACCTAGTCAGGAGCAAAAGCAAGTTCGTTACCACCTATTTTCCGGTATTTTACAAATAATTGTCACATACATAATTTCATACCAGAAAATCTCAATTCTTCAGCAACTCTACGCAACATAAATAAGCATTTAGTAGAACAACAACAACAACAACAACAACAACAAAGCCTTTTCCCACTAAGTGGGATCGGCTATATGAATCCTAGAACGCCATTGCGCTCGGTTTTGTGTCATGTCCTCCGTTAGATCCAAGTACTCTAAGCCTTTTCTTAGAGTCTCTTCCAAAGTTTTCCTAGGTCTTCCTCTACCCCTTCGGCCCTGAACCTCTGTCCCGTAGTCACATCTTCGAACCGGAGCGTCAGTCGGCCTTCTTTGCACATGTCCAAATCACCGGAACCGATTTTCTCTCATCTTTCCTTCAATTTCGGCTACTCCTACTTTACCTCGGATATCCTCATTCTCAATCTTATCCTTTCTCGTGTGCCCACACATCCCACGAAGCATCCTCATCTCTGCTACACCCATTTTGTGTACGTGTTGATGTTTCACTGCCCAACATTCTGTGCCATACAACATCGCTGGCCTTATTGCCGTCTTATAAAATTTTTCCTTGAGCTTCAGTGGCCTACGACGGTCACACAACATCCATCCAGCTCGTATTCTATGGTTGAGATCTCCATCTAATTCTCCGTTCTCTTGTAAGATAGATCCTAGGTAGCGAAAACGGTCGCTTTTTGTGATCTTCGCTAAATTGCTCCGGTCATTAGTGTGGATAAGTATATAAATGGATAGAGATAGGAAAGCAAACACAAGATGTACGTGGTTCACCCAGATTGGCTACGTCCACGGAATAGAAGAGTTCTCATTAATTGTGAAGGGTTTACACAAGTACATAGGTTCAAGCTCTCCTTTAGTGAGTACAAGTGAATGATTTAGTACAAATGACATTAGAGTACAAATGACATTAGGAAATATTGTGGGAGAATGATCTCGTAATCACGAAACTTCTAAGTATCGGAGTATGGTATCGACTTGCCTTATCTGTCTCATAGGTAGATGTGGCAGCTTCTCTGGAAGTACTCTTCCTCCATCCAGGGGTGGTATCTTTAACTGGTGGAGATGCACAAGGTAATGTATCAATTTCACTTGAAGCTTACTTGTAGTTTCAGGCTTGGTCAAGCGCGATACAAACCATGTAGTAGGAGTCCCCCAAGTCGCCGAGCTAGGGGATTTGCTGAAAGAGGTGACAGACAAGGTAAGCAATCAGAGCTCCGGCTGATTGTTCACCTTCTCCCCATCTTGCAGCAGCATGAAGGATAAAGAGAAGAAAAATGAGAAGAGATGATATGGGATACTTTTTCTTTTGAAGAAGTAACTTTCCACAGGCTTATTCTTGAACTGAGCTGGAGGGTTTTCTGGTTTCCTCCAGAGTATAAGGCCGACTGAAGAATTTGAGGGTCAAAACAAGTCCATCAAATCTAGAGTACGTTCGACCCTGCTGATATGGGATACTTTTGCTTTTGACAGAGTAATGGATGGATCGGCACGTGTGCTGTTACGCTTGTCTCCACATGCTTCCTTGTATCCTTCGCACTTGCCCTATCTGTTCCTCAAGCAGATGCGGTATCTTCCCTGGCAACATAAGATGTTGAAGATGAGTACTCGAGAGCAATGCCAGGTAAGTAATCAGGTAAGGGGTTCCAGGCTGTCAGTTCCTGGCTGGGAGCTTGATTTCAAGTGCTGACTGATTGCTCTCTCTTTCTCCTTGTCTTGCAGGTAAAAACAAGGCCAAAGGAAAAGACAGGGGAAAAAGCATGATATGGGATACTCTTGCTTTTAACCCTGATGATATGAGATATTCTTGCTCTAGTATAGCTTGTTTGCAGAGGTATTATCGGGGGGAAAGAAAGCTGAATATTTCGAAAGGCTTCGTTGGGAGTGGCCTCTCAGATATGAGGAAGGGTTGAGCATTTTTGCAGGTGTGCCTGTCCGTTGGGGATGGAGGTCGACATATATAGGAGTCTCCCTAACAACAAGTAGTAATGCTATTCCTTTACCCTGCTTGGTCATAGCACGGTAGTGGGAGCTGCCAGCTTCACATGTTTTAACTCTGTCAGAGCACTTTGAAAAAGTGGTATGTGGTATCTGGCTCTCGAGATTCGGAGAACGATGCTTCTTCGATTTTTTGAGAAAGCAATCATGGTGGGGGTCTGGCTCTCGAGATTCGGGGAGCAGTGTCTCTTCGATTTTTGAGAAAGTAATCATGTTGGGAGTCTGGCTCTCGAGATTCGGAAGGCGGTGCCTCTTCGATTTTGGAGTAAGCAATCTTGTTGGGAGTGTTTTCTCGGATGTGAGTAAAGGTTGGGCATGTTTGCTAGTCTACCTTGCCACGAAGCACGGAGGTTGACACACAGGGACTTTCCAATTATCCAGCAGTGGTACTATTCCTTTACCCTTGTGGGTAATAATATGGTAGCTAGACCTTCAAAAATTTATGTGTCTAAACTTTGTTAGTGCTGTTTCTTTGCTATTCTTTTACCTTTCTTGGTCAGAGCGATGTAGTGGGAGCTGCAAGCTTCACGTGCTCAACTTTGGCAGAGACTTTGACAAAGTTATCTGTGGTACCCATGAGCTATTGTTGCGTGTGGGAAGTGGGTGATTGAACAGTAAGATTCATGTGCTTTCTACTTCACCAGAAGTCTTCAACAGAATGCCCATAATTTCCGCAAAGCTGAGTGTGCGTGTGACAGGTGCTGACAAGGCTAGAAAAGAAGGTGCCTCTTTGATTTCTGAGATCGGCCCTCGTGGTCTCTGAGCAGCCCAGCTTTTTGAGAAAGCGAGCGCCTCTTCGATTGATTCGGAGAACGATGCCTCTTCGATTTTTGAGAAAAGCAATCATGCTGGGGGTCTGGCTCTCGAGATTCGGGGAGCAGTGTCTCTTCGATTTTTGAGAAAGTAATCATGTTGGGAGTCTGGCTCTCGAGATTCGGAGGGCGGTGCCTCTTCGATTTTGGAGCAAGCAATCTTGTTGGGAGTGTTTTCTCGAATGTGAGTAAAGGTTAGGCATGTTTGCTAGTCTACCTTGCCACGAAGCACAGAGGTTGACACACAGGGACTTTCCAATTATCCAGCAATGGTACTGTTCCTTTACCCTTCTCTTCGATTTTTGAGAAAGTAGTCATGTTGGGAGTCTGGCTCTCGAGATTCGGAGGACGGTGCCTCTTCGATTTTGGAGCAAGCAATCTTATTGGGAGTGTTTTCTCGAATGTGAGTAAAGGTTGGGCATGTTTGCTAGTCTACCTTGCCACGAGCACAGAGGTTGACACACAGGGACTTTCCAATTATCCAACAGTGGTACTGTTCCTTTACCCTTGTGGGTAATAATATGGTAGCTAGACCTTCAAAATTTATAGGTCTAAACTTTGTTAGTGCTGTTTCTTTGCTATTCTTTTACCTTTATTGGTCAGAGCGATGTAGTGGGAGCTGCAAGCTTCACGTGCTCAACTTTGGCAGAGAACTTTGGCAAAGTTATCTGTGGTACCCATGAGCTATTGTTGCGTGTGGGAAGTGGGTGATTGAACAGTAAGATTCATGTGTTTTCTACTTCCCCAGAAGTCTTCGACAGAATGCCCATAATTTCCGCAAAGCTGAGTGTGCGTGTGACAGGTGCTGACAAGGCTGGAAAAGTAGGTGCCTCTTCGATTTCTGAGATCGGCCCTCGTGGTCTCTAAGGAGCCCAGCTTTTGAGGAAAGCGAGCGCCTCTTCAATTTCTGAGATCGGCCTTTCGTGGATCTTTGAGCAGCCCAACTTTTGAGAAAGCAAACACCTCTTCGATTTTATGAGATCAACCCTCGTGGTCTCTAAGCAGCCCAGCTTTTGAGAAAGCAAAACGCCTCTTCGATGTCTGAAGCTCCGTCGAGTGCAGATTTTTATAGGGGCTGGCATTAAGTTCCAAAGCACACTTGAATCTCCACCAGTAGAAGCTTCCATTCTTGCACTTCTAAGATCTTGATTTGTCCGACCTCTTCTCTCTTCAACACCTTTGAAAATGTCTGGCCCCTCCGACCGTCGTTTTGACTTGAACCTTGTTGAAGAGGCAGCCCCGCCTTCTCCAGACAACATATGGCGCCCATCCTTCGTCTCCCCTACTGGTCCTCTTACCGTTGGGGATTCCGTGATGAAGAATGATATGACCGCTGCGGTGGTGGCCAGGAACCTTCTCACTCCCAAAGATAACAGACTACTTTCCAAACGGTCTGATGAGTTAGCTGTTAAGGATTCACTGGCTCTCAGTGTTCAGTGTGCAGGTTCTGTGTCTAATATGGCCCAACGCCTATTTGCTCGAACCCGCCAAGTTGAATCATTGGCGGCTGAAGTGATGAGTCTCAAACAGGAGATTAGAGGGCTCAAGCATGAGAATAAACAGTTGCACCGGCTCGCACATGACTATGCTACAAACATGAAGAGGAAGCTTGACCAGATGAAGGAAACTGATGGTCAGGTTTTTACTTGATCATCAGAGATTTGTGGGTTTGTTCCAAAGGCATTTATTGCCTTCGTCTTCTGGGGCTGTACCGCGTAATGAAGCTCCAAATGATCAACCTCTGATGCCTCCTCCTTCTAGGGTTCTGTCCAGTACTGAGGCTCCGAATGATCCCCCTCCGGTGCCTTCTCTTTCTGGGGCTCTACCGACTGCTGAGACTTCTCCTAAGCAACCTTTGTGAAGGCTCCTCTTGTTTGTTTATTTTGACTCATGTATATGTACATATTTGTAGCTTATCGGGGATATCAATAAATAAGCTTTCCTTCATTTCAACGTATTGTGTTAAATACACCAAAGCCTTCTTCGCTAAGTTCTTTGAATTTTCTTTTGTTGAAGCTTGTATGTTGAAGCTTTCTGAGTGGAGCATGTAGGTTGGGGTAGTGTTCCCTTAATTTTCCCGAGTGAGGAAAACTTCTCGGTTGGAGACTTGGAAAATCCAAGTCACTGAGTGGGATCGGCTATATGAATCTTAGAACGCCATTGTGCTCGGTCCTGTGTCATGTCCTTCGTTAGATCCAAGTACTCTAAGTCTTTTCTTAGAGTCTCTTCCAAAGTTTTCCTAGGTCTTCCTCTACCCCTTCGGCCCTGAACCTCTGTCCCATAGTCGCATCTTCTAATCGGAGCGTCAGTAGGCCTTCTTTGCACATGTCCAAACCACCGTAACCGATTTTCTCTCATCTTTCCTTCAATTTCGGCTACTCCTACTTTACCCCGGATATCCTCATTCCTAATCTTATCCTTTCTCGTGTGCCCACACATCCAACGAAGCATCCTCATCTCCGCTACACCCATTTTGTGTACGTGTTGATGCTTCACCGCCCAACATTTTGTGCCATACAGCATCGCCGGCCTTATTGCCGTCCTATAAAATTTTCCCTTGAGCTTCAGTGGCATACGGCGGTCACACAACACGCCGGATGCACTCTTCCACTTCATCCATCCAGCTTGTATTCTATGGTTGAGATCTCCATCTAATTCTCCGTTCTTTTGCAAGATAGATCCTAGGTAACGAAAACGGTCGCTCTTTGGTATTTCTTGATCTCCGATCCTCACCCCTAACTCGTTTTGGCCTCCATTTGCACTGAACTTGCACTCCATATATTCTGTCTTTGATCGGCTTAGGCGAAGACCTTTAGATTCCAACACTTCTCTCCAAAGGTTAAGCTTTGCATTTACCCCTTCCTGAGTTTCATCTATCAACACTATATCGTCTGCGAAAAGCATACACCAAGGAATATCATCTTGAATATGTCCTGTTAACTCATCCATTACCAACGCAAAAAGGTAAGGACTTAAGGATGAGCCTTGATGTAATCCTACAGTTATGGGAAAGCTTTCGGTTTGTCCTTCATGAGTTCTTACGGCAGTCTTTGCTCCTTCATACATATCCTTTATAGCTTGGATATATGCTACTCGTACTCCTTTCTTCTCTAAAATCCTCCAAAGAATGTCTCTTGGGACCCTATCATACGCTTTTTCCAAATCTATAAAGACCATGTGTAAATCCTTTTTCCCATCTCTATATCTTTCCATCAATCTTCGTAAGAGATAGATTGCCTCCATGGTTGAGCGCCCTGGCATGAACCCGAATTGGTTGTCCGAAACCCGTGTCTCTTGCCTCAATCTATGCTCAATGACTCTCTCTCCCAGAGCTTCATTGTATGACTCATTAGCTTAATACCCCTATAGTTCATGCAATTTTGTACGTCGCCCTTATTCTTGTAGATAGGCACCAAAGTGCTCGTTCGCCACTCATTTGGCATCTTCTTCGTTTTCAAAATCCTATTGAAAAGGTCAGTGAGCCATGTTATACCTGTCTCTCCCAAAACTTTCCACACTTCGATTGGTATATCGTCTGGGCCTATTGCTTTTCTATGCTTCATCTTCTTCAAAGCTACAACCACTTCTTCCTTCCGGATTCGACGATAAAAAGAGTAGTTTCTACACTCTTCTGAGTTACTCAACTCCCCTAAAGAAGCACTCCTTTCATGTCCTTCATTGAAAAGATTATGAAAATAACCTCTCCATCTGTCTTTAACCGCGTTCTCTGTAGCAAGAACCTTTCCATCCTCATCCTTGATGCACCTCACTTGGTTTAGGTCCCTTGTCTTCTTTTCCCTTGCTCTAGCTAGTTTATAGATATCCAAACTCTCCTTCTTTGGTATCTAGTCGTTTATACATATCGTCGTAAGCCGCTAACTTAGCTTCTCTGACAGCTTTCTTCGCCTCTTGCTTCGCTTTTCTATACCTTTCACCAATTTTCATCGGTCCTCTCCTTGTATAAGGCTTTACAACATTCCTTCTTAGCCTTCACCTTTGTTGTACCTCCTCATTCCACCACCAAGATTCCTTTTGGTGTGGGGCAAAGCCCTTGGACTCTCCTAATACCTCTTTTGCTACTTTTCGGATACAACTAGCCATGGAATCCCACATTTGGCTAGCTTCCCCCTCTCTATCCCACACACATTGGGTGATTACATTCTCTTTGAAAATGGCTTGTTTTTCTTCTTTTAGATTCCACCATCTAGTCCTTGGGCACTTCCAAGTCTTGTTCTTTTTGTCTCCCTCTTTTGATATGTACATCCATCACCAACAAGCGATGTTGATTAGCCACGCTCTCTCCTGGATATAACTTTGCAATCCTTACAAGTTATACGATCCCCTTTCCTCATTAGAAGAAAATCTATTTGTGTTTTTTGACGACCCACTCTTGTAGGTGATCACATGTTCTTCTCTCTTCTTAAAGAAGGTGTTGGCTAAGAAGAGATCATATGCCATTGCAAAATCCAAGATAGCTTCCCCATCCTCGTTTCTCTCCCCAAAACCATGGCCACCATGAAAACCTCCATAGTTGCCTGTCTCCCTGCCCACGTGTCCATTTAAGATCTCCTCCTATAAATAACTTCTCCGTCTGAGCAATTCCTTGCACCAAGTCTCCAAGGTCTTCCCAAAATTTCTCCTTCGAACTCGTATCCAACCCTACTTGAGGTGCGTACGCACTAATCACATTGATAAGTTCTTGTCCTATTACAATCTTGATTGCCATGATTCTATCTCCTACCCTCTTGACATCTACAACATCTTGTGTCAAGGTCTTGTCCACGATGATGCCAACACCGTTTCTCGTTCTATTTGTGCCCGAATACCAAAGTTTAAACCCTGTGTTTTCTAGATCCTTTGCCTTACTACCAACCCACTTAGTTTCTTGTAGGCACATAATATTTATCCTTCTCCTCACCATAACTTCCACTACTTCCATAGATTTTCCCGTTAAGGTTCCTATATTCCACGTTCCTAAACGCATTTTGCTCTCTTGAACTCTACCCTTCTGTCCTAGCTTCTTCACCCTCCCCCGTCTAATAGGATCAAAGTACTTCTTTTGTGTGTCCCGTGTAAAGTTGATAGGAGCATATGCTCCCAAACAACTTTGAGTGGAGTCGTTCGAAAAGAAGTTTCTACGGCCCCCTTGCTCATTTAACACTGCATCCGGGTGCCGATGGAGATACAGCGACCCTTGCTCACTTATCACTGTGCTCGGGCCACACAGCGCGCCACTTACGGGTGACGCAAAAAAAAAAAAAAATTTAACCTTCTCAATAGGAAAACAAACACATCCATCTTATTTCTCTTGGCCTCCTACATTAATCAACCTTCCTTTTTTTTCCACATCCCAAAAAATAATGCAAGGTGACAAATAAAAAATTTAATTGCCTTCTTTTGAAGCTATATGTTATGACTTTCATATTGCTTTCTCACCTTGTATACAAATAGTTTGGTTTATAGAGAACCTGCACACATCCAGATATTGAAACCTAAACTCAAAAAAGAAACTGAGATCAAAATATAAAAAAAATGTTCCATATTCATCTCTGCTCCTCTGCACTGCCCTAAGTCACAACAATAGTGAAAAATATAATAACCAGTGAAGAAGCCAGGAATTATCGCAAGGGGGGAGGGGCAAAATTTAGAAGGGTAAAGGTCCCAGAAAAATGTAGACGATCAAAAGAAAATTAAGATTACTCAAATTGTTATTCCATGTTAAGTTTAGATGAAAATAAAACAAAAGATTGGAACCTGGGCTAGCTCTAAAATTTTATGAGGTGACTAATGATTATAGATCATTAATACAGAGTTTGACATGAGGTCAAAATAAGAAGGAATTGTAAGCTTTGACATGTATTAAACAAATTGCATAATGTGGCATGAATATTCATACAACTGCAGTAACAAACTCATTTAAAGTTCACTCTTCCTTAAGATGAGATTATACTCTAACAATTATTACCATCATCGACAATGATAACAAAAACTCACTTAAAGTTATACTTATCCATTACCATCAGCTCGTGAATTCTCCTCATAGATCAACTAGTCACAGCTTTCCTTATAGCTGCTGTCCATCCATTGTTTTTTGATTGACTTTCCTTTTTCAGTAATTGATGACTCACTGTGTATTTATATTCCTCCCACAAGCTACCTGAGTTTTATGCATCCATCTCAGTCTAGAGGTAAAAGAAGAAGCAAGTTCCCAAGACAAACCAAAACAAATAAATAAAGAATTAATGCTTGTTTACGCAAAGTTGTGTGTAATAGTAGCATTATTATTCAAGAACTACTGCGGAAGTTTTCAATTCTCAGATTGAAGTATTCAATTGTAGGCCAGAATTTTTAAGAATCTCATCCATATAGCCTTAAGACAAAGACACAGAAAAAGCAAGCATGTACAATTACATTGCAATTAATCATGCAAATTAGCAATCGACCAATCAAGATTAAGAATTTAACAAAGGATGGAATTGCTAACCTAGTACGCATCCCATCCAATTCCTTAACCCCCAAATCAACAGATTCTAATTCAACAACATTAAAAAGAAACCTGGTGGATGGTGATCGGCGTTGAAGAAGAAACTTGTTGACTCAGACCGATATCACCCCACAAACTCAAACAGACAACCCAAGTACCTGTTTGCCGTTTCTAAGTCTTTACTCTTTTGACACAATCTCTTCACACACTCAACTTATATGGCTCTTTTGGTAATCCTCAATCGAAACGGGAAAAATTGAATTAAAGATAGAACTAAATTGCATCTTTTAACTTTTAAAAATTTCAAACCCAAATCGGATCCCCCTAATTAACCGTAACCCTAATATCCCAACCTCAATAGACCAAAAAAAAAAAAAAAAAATTCCAACCTCAAATTCCCAATCATAAACCTAAAATCTGAAATTTCAAACTAGAAGTTCGACTTTACAAATCGAAATCAGAATAACAGACAAAGTAAAAAATCGTAAAGAAAGCCAAATCAAAATCAAAGATCGAGAAATTGATCGAATTAAGAGAAATATATAGGACACACCTGAAAAATAGAGTTCGAGAATATTTCAATTGCTTTTAGAGAGAGACCACTGTAGAGAGACATAAATCGGTGAAATGAAGAGAAAAATAGACACGGAGAACTCGTCCAAGGTTAGAAAGAGCAGAACAACTGAAGATTTCTCTTTCCCCAATAGGTTAGAGAGAGGAGATAGTGAAGAGTGGGGCGCAGAGGGTTAGAGAGTAGGTGAGAGAGGGAGACGATAGAGAGGTGGTGGACGCCGTTGGCGGCGAATTTGCAGAACAGTCGAGAGACGGAGCGGGGTAAAACCGTAAGAGAGCAGAACATATGATGAGGCTTTACGGTTTGGGGTTGTAATTTGATTACTTCTTATTTTATTTTACTTTTCTGATTTTGAGACAATAGGTGATGCATTGCCTATCCTCTCATGTATTCATGTTGCATTCTTTTATGTTATGTCACGAATTATGTACTTTCGTCACTTATTCATAATTCACTGGGCGGTAAAATTTTCCGCATTATATTTCTGACGAATTTAAGCTTCTTATGTAACGAATGTAAGCTTAAAACAATTATACCTCCAATAAATATCTTTATGTGACGTTTTTTCAAAAGCCCTCACTTATTTTACTTGAATGTGATGAATTTTTTAGTGCTACAAGTAATTCCGTCACTTATGCATTTTTTTTGTAGTGTTTAATTGAGTTTCCTTTTGTTTGTTTATGGATGGCATCAAGTTGTGGTTTTTGTTTGATCTGTTGTCTAGTTTGTAATATGATGCTTGAAAGGTGTTCGATTCAATTCGATTTTGGTAGGATAGGCATGTGGGTTTATTGGGTTTGTTTTAGTTTCTACGTTAATAGTTGAGCATAGATTGTTTTTCTTTAATTTGATTGGCTCTTAAGTGTTTTCGATTAATTTGTAGACTGGTAAATTGCTTAAGAAGAATGATTCGAAATTAGTCACAAAAAAACAATAACTTCACTTGCAATATCTGTAGATGGTTTCTATTTTCTCACTGGTATGCTATACAAATCTGCCAAGGTAATGCACCTTATAATCTTCGTAGTTTGTTTCTCGGTTTCATAATTTTACTGAGTTTGTGAATGTCTTGTTATTTGAGATTTTTGTCTGGGTTGCAAAGTTTGAATTTTTTATGTGGATAATTGAATAGGTAAATTATCGTTTGACCTCCTAAACTTTTACTCTAGTTGAAATTGACTACTTGAACTATTTTTTTGGTAAATTAACCCCTGAACTAATTGAAATAGGGAGTTTTAACGAAAAGCCCATGATACTGTTCACTTTAACGAAAAACCATATTTTTACACTAAAAAGTCAAACCTACTACTATTTACTTTACTCATTATTTTGTCTTTATCGTTAAAACTCAAAGTTTTCAAGTCATTTTCATTAGTTTTCCTTTTGAAATAAGCCAATTAACCCTTTGTCGTTAGATTCCGTCCATTATTCTGTCAAATTCAAGGGCAAATTAGTCTTTTTATTATCAATTCTTACATGTCCCTTATAACTACCAATAAAATTATAACATGTGGACATATAATAATGTGTAATGGCAATATGAAATGGTTCTTATGTAAATGTTTGGTTTCTTTATGTTTCTTATTATGCTATAAGTTTTTGAATTATTCTGTATCCACGTGTCATTATTTTATTAGTGGTTATAATTGACAAGTAAGAATTAATGATGAAAAGACTAATTTGCCCTTGAATATGACGGAATAGTGGACAAAATCTACAACAAGGGGTAAATTGGCTGATTTTAAATACTTCAGTAGGTTAATTTACCAAACAAATAGTTCAGGGGTCAATTTCAAATGGGGTAATAGTTTAGGGGGTCAAATCGCAGTTTACCCTAATTGAATTTTGCTTGTATTTGACACAAATGAGATTGAAAAATGAGGTGTTGCTATTAGGTGCTTATCTTTTAGTACAAATTGTAAGCAAAAGTGATCTCATTTGCCTGAGTAGTTTCCCATCATGCTAAATTTAGCTGAGTTTATAAATTTCCTTACTTGAGAATTCTTTATTTGATGAACATATCCTTAGTTGGTCCTATCTCTTTTCTCTAAATCTCTTTCTGCTCTTTGGTCTTTGTGTCATCGGTGAAAAGAACAGGAAAAAAAATAAAAATCATATAATTGATATGTGAGGGGGCAATACAAAATCTTATATGCATCTGATGAAGATGAAACAGAAACAACAAAATTTCCAACGGATTGTTTACATATTCATCCTTAACACATGCTCAATGGTATACATGATTCCAATGGCATTCAATGGTGCAGCAAGGCGAGTTTAAAACCTTAAATCTACATAGAAGTGTTTACGTCTCTATTGTTGCACAGTTATTTTCACTATTTCCGATATAATTCTGAAGCGGCACAAGGATTAGAAAGCACTTTTCTTAATGTCAGGTTGCAATTTGGCTAATGGAATTGGTACTTTTAGAATATTTGTATTCTTCTTCCATTTTTATTCATTATTTCATTATGAGGTATTATTCGACATGCTTTACTGTGGGAAATCAATTTAAATGAAATGCAGAAAATGTTTTGGTCAAAAGCATTGTATTGGATATGATATTTCAAACAAGGCCTATTAGTTAGTATATCGGTGAATAATTATCTTATTTTGTAGGGAGCTTTAATGAAAGCTCTCGGTATTGTTCACTTTAACGAAAAACCATATTTTTACACTAAAAAGGCAATCCTAGTACTATTCACTTTACCCTTTATTTTGTTCTTATCGTTAAAACCCCAAGTTTTCAAGCCCTTTTCATTAGTTTTCCTTATTTTCTATCCATCATTCTTTTAAGAGAACTTTAATGAAAAGCACCTGATACTGTTCACTTTAACGAAAAACCACATTTTTACACTAAAAAGTCAATCCTGGTACTATTCACTTTACCCTTTATTTTGTCCTTATCATTAAAACTCAAAGTTTTCAAGCCATTTTCATTAGTTTTCCTTTCTTTGAGAACTTTAATGAAAAGCACATGATACTGTTCACTTTAACGAAAAACCACATTTTTACACTAAAAAGTCAATCCTGGTACTATTCACTTTACCCTTTATTTTGTCCTTATCATTAAAACTCAAAGTTTTCAAGCCCTTTTCATTAGTTTTCCTTTCTTTTAATTCATAGAGATTTATACTAGTAGAAATCACACCCAAGGATAAGGCCTAATTAATTGATTCATGTCTAATTATACAACTTACTCCTATTACATAATAAAAGCCTAATCACAGCCTGATTATATAATCAATGCCTGATTGAGTTGATTGATCCTACTTATACAACTTACTCCTATTACATAATACAACTATTACTCTTCAGATAAGCCTAATTACTTGAGTTGATTGATCCTACTCTAAGATGAAACTTTTAAATGAATTTTTACTAGAATTAAGTTGATTTAAGTATGGGTGGTTTTGTATTTAAAATTTGAAAGGGTAAAATAGAAATCATTTCAGTTTGGGTTGAATTGTGAAGGAAGAATTTTCTAAATAGATCATGACAGATTACTATTGCAATCTGTCTAAACATCTAAAATTCATATGTTTAGAATTCTTTCATGAGAAAATGCCAATCAAAGCCCTCCAATTCTATTCATATATAGTCCGATAGTGGAGATCAAATACAATCTGTAGCATGGTACATAGGTGGATCATATAACTAGGGATATTGTAATTATTCGCGTGCTACATGTTGAAGAATATCAGCAGTGCCATGTCAGCAAGTTAGTTGTAGCTGATAAGATTGGATATAGTTAGTTATAGGTGGTTATATTTGTTAGACAAATAGTGTAGGAGCTAAGTTTCTCTCAAGCTCTATATAACTGAGAAATGAGTTGGTTGTAATCATTCAAGTCTATCAATAGTGAAGGATTGCTCTCGTTTTACTGATTTAGAAGGATATGAACGCCGATTGCCATTTCTTCTAAGTAGGAGATTGATTAGTAGATTTTAAAGGCCAATTGCCATTACTTGACTGATCATCAAATGAAGGCCAATGAAGGCCGATTGCCATTGCTGAAAGATTGGGTTTTTTGATTGATTGTTGGGTATTCTTTGATTGATTGTTGGGGATTTTACACTCACGAAAGACCGATTGCCAAGAGTGTATTCGTTCAAGATTCTGCAAAAGTTGTTCATTTGTTGAAATTGTATTCATTGGTGAAGATATGGCGTTTAGTTCTGTTAAAATTGAGAGTCTTTTGGGTATGATTACTGTCAAATTACAAGAAGATAATTTTGTCAAGTGGAGCTTCAGTTTAAGTCGGTTCTTAGGGGATATGATTTCTTTGATTTCTTTGATTTCTTTACTGGGGAATCTCAGTGTCCACCAAAGTTTATCATTACTCCTGATGCTGGTGTGACAAAAGAAATTACTATGGCCTATAAAAAATGGGTCAAGACAGATGTTTCCTTGTTGAGTTTGTTAATTACATCACTTTTGGATGAAGCTATGGATCATGTTATTGGTTGCAAGACTTCCCAGGAAGTGTGGAAATGCTTAGAAGAGAGATATGCATCTGTTTCAGTTGTGAGAATCAATCAACTTAAGATTGAATTTCATACTGCACAAAAGATGGCTGATTCAGTGGATAAATATTTACTCATGTTGAAAGGTATTAGAGACCAATTAATTGCTACAGGAGAAAAGATCACTGACAATGATTTGGTGATAGCTACTTTATTTGGGTTGCCATCATAATTTGAGATGATCAAGATAGTAATTCTTGCAAGGGACACTCCAATTTCATTGAAAGATTTCAGGGCTCAGCTTCTTGGTGCTGAGGGAAGTATTGAGTCAAAACTTAATACCTTGTCTAACTCAATGTCTGCAATGACTGTTCAAGGAAGTTCCTCAGGATCACAAAGTTTTCAAGCAGGCTACCAAGGCTATAAACAAGGTGAAAGCTCAAATACTTAGGGCAATCAAGGGGGACATGGTTTCAATGAAGGATCTGGCAATGGAAGTAATGGTGGAAAGACCTTTAATTCATAACAAATGTCTAATTACAACAACAGGAAATTCTCTGGTGGAAACAACTATCCTAGATCATATTCAAATTTTGGGAATAGGCCTAGAGGAAATAGTTTTGGAGGAAATGGTTCGAACTTCTACAATGATAATGGAAAGGGCTCTCAATCAAACGGAAGATCTAATAATTCTTTTTCTGGAAATGGAGGCAAGCAAGGGAATTCCTGGAATGGCAATACAAATTACAAGGCATCAATTTCTCCTGAATGCCAGATATGTTCAAGAAGGGGTCACACAACACCAAATTGCTTTTTCAAGACTGATAGTGGTCAACCATCTGGGGGCTTCATTATGTCTCAATTTTGTGGCAAGAAAGGTCACATTGCCTT